TAGTTAAATTTGGTAACTTGCCTTTAAGCTTGCTACAAATAAATCCTCCTAAATGTTCTAGTCCATCATATCTTAAATCATCGAGTTCTTCACAGAGGACTATGTCATCTCCATCCGTGGGATTGGTGTCATGATTGTTTTTTTTTTTAAAGCAAGCTTTTCTACCATACTACCGCTCATAGTTAATGTAGGAGTAACATCGTCTTCTACATTACAGTAATCTGAAAAAGCGCCTTCATTTTTTCCCATTAAATAAGAACGCAGTCGGTATTTAAAATCTAAAGAAGTTGGATGATCGTTCAAACCACCTTTTGCTCTTATGACTCCAAAAAAATTCTCCAAGGGATCTTGGTTTAAGCGTCTCGTCAAAAGGTAGTTCATATTATAGCGTTTGCCTACATCTTCAAGCAGCAACTGTAGAGCCTAATTTGATATAAGAATACCTACAATGTTTTGTAAAATGTTATAAATGTATTTTTACTTTGATATACTGTGTTACCTTTTTGGAATGGAAGCAATGATTTCTTGCCTTTAACGCGCATTGTTGAAATCATGTCAGACATTCTATTTAAAATATCATTTTGAGTTTCTAACTCCAAACCATATGCCCGGTTTCTGATTCGAGTGTCGCTCACAGGAACGCTAACATTAAATACGTCAAACCAATCGTTCACCTATAACAAGTTAAAACAAATTAGTAATTAATGTTTACCTTACAAATTGTAACTCTTACTAGTTTAAAAAGATCTGCCAATTGTGTCCAATCTGTCCTACTAATAGCCTTCGATACCGGATGGGAGAATAATTTAACGGCATATTTTACTCTCTGTCTTTGAGCTCCTCTCACATTAAGCTTTTCTTTATCCGTTTTGTGGGTAATTTTTAAATCAGAACCTGTTGTTGCATCGAGAACAGATTCAACACAGTCCTTATTCAGTTCTAGTCCACACAGTTATGATTCATTTATTATTGTATGATTAGCTTTTATTACATCATGTACTTTGTAAAGGACCGCTTAGGTATCATTTAAGAATAAATTTTTGAATGTTTTCACACGTTTTTGTGAGTACACAAAAATGCTCAATGCAAATTACAGGTATCGCAAGAAAAATTTTATTGTCTCTTACATATTTCTTCTCAAATTTAAGAAAAAGTAAAAATTTCTATCTGAATATAAAATTCGGTAGCGGTACATCGGTAGAAAAGCGGCGAAATCAGTAGGTTTGGGAACACTGCTGCTACCTGCTACGCTGCAACTGACGTCACTCCCTGGCCGAAGATCGAGCGACCGTGCGCAATATGTTACCTCTGTAGTTTATTATACCATGGAAATATATCATCTAAATAACGCCGAACATTTACACCAACTATCTGACGTTAAATTTCCTTCGATAAAAAATGACCCAATTGACTAAGTACCTACTATACCTGATCATACATATGTAGTCTGGAAGGTCTTAAATACATAAAACCGTGCAAAATATGTAGATTTTAATAAATTTAAATATTTAAATGTAGAATGCTGTGATATTGACATTTGCTCACGATTTACATTATAAACGAAAACTGAAAGTAGTTGTGTTTCGAAAAGTTCTGCAATTTAAATTGCTTCTCTAAAATGCCTTTCTCTAAACCGTTCTCCTATTCATAAGGCGACGGTACAAAAACTGTAAAGCGATTTGAGAAATTTGAAGAAGGTAAAGATAGATGGAAAGAGAAAAGTTGTGTTGAAGATCCACATACATCCTCAGGCAAGGTTGCACAAGTACATGATGTAGGTCGTTCTTCAGTCTTACGTATAATACGTAAAAATAAGTTTAAACCATACAAAATAAACTTATTGCAAGAATTAAGTGAAGATGACTTCGATCTTAGATTAGAGTTTACTGAGGTACTGATGGATAAAATTGAAAATTATTAAAATTTCGTTAACAGAATATGTTTTCCGATGAAGCAATCTTTACACTGTGTGGAAGTGTAAATCGACACAATTTAAGGTACTGGAGTGACGCAAATTCACACGGAATACGTGAAAACCATACTCAAAGACCACAAAAATTAAATGTATCGTCAGGTATAGTAGGTACTTAGTCAATTGGGCCATTTTTTATCGAGAGAAATTTAATGTCAGATAGTTGGTGTAAATGTTCGGCGTTATTTAGAGGAGATATTTCCCGGACGATTTCCCGGTTCCCGGTAGACAAGGTAGAATTGAATGGCCTTCACGTTCACCCGATTTCAATCATAAAGATTATTATTTACTTGAAAAATTCAGTTTACAAAACTTAACCAGCAAGTCTTGCAGCGCTAAGGCAACGAATTATCAATGAATCTCAAATTGTTTCTAGACCATCATGGAGAAATGTGAAAGACGCATTCTAGCATCGATTAGGGTACTGTCAACTCATAAATTGAGCATATTTTGAACACTTAATAACGTAACTATTGTTAAAAAATGTTCTAATCTATCAATTGTTACGTTTTCATGTAGTTGAAAATAATTAGTATTAAAAAATTTATTGAAACAATTAGGCGTTGCCAGACTTGTGTTTTATGTATTTAAGACCTTTCAGACTACATAAAATCATAAGTGTTATATGGTTGAACTCGTATTAAATAGGAGATTCCAATAATGACTAAATATACAGGGTGATGCATTTAAAAAACCAAAGTAACTAATAATATAAGAAAAACGGAACATCTGGCAACATTGCAAATATCAAATATGGAATCTTCGTTTTCCAGAATAGGTGCACCTCAAATTTTGTACAATTATAACTAGCAATTTATGAGATAATTGGCCGTTTCCAGACTTTTGGGCCACTCTGTATAATAAAGATTATAGATAGAAATGGTCATCTTACAGCCAACAGAGAAGAAACCCTTAAAATAGTTGAAAACTTCTACAAACTGCTGTACACAAGCCAACACAAGGCAAATAGCAGAGATCAAGTACTAGAAATATTAACAAAGAAAAAGGGTATTTTCAACCAAGGATCAGAACTACTACCGGAAATCACAATGGACGAAATAAAACTAGCCCTAAAGCTAAAAATAACAAATCTTCAGGCGAAGATTGTGTAGTTACTGATGCAATCAAAATCGGAGGCACTTGCCTACTTAAGAAAACAAAAAACCTTTTTAACCTGTGCCTTTTGGAGAATAATATACCTGACAAATAGTACAATGATGAGGTCATTCTATTGTACAAAAAAGGAGATCTTCATGAATTAGAAAACTACAGACCTATAAGTCTTCTTAGTCACCTATACAAACTCGTTACAAGAAGGGTAACGAATCTTCTTGAGAAAAAACTTGATTTCTACCAGCCAATAGAGCAAGCAGGATTTCGTACCGGATTTGGATTAAATGATCACCTACAGAGCATTAAAACGGTAATAAAAAAGACTATCGAATACAATCGACCACTCGTTCTGGCTTTTGTAGATTTTCATAAAGCCTTTGACACGGTAGAATTTGACAAAATCCTAGAAGCACTACAAGCCTGCCGTATTGACTACCGATATACAAGGTTAATTTACAATACATACAAGAACGCAACTATGTCGGTGAAACTACATGAAAACACGGATCACATCAAAATCGGCAGAGGAGTCGAACAGAATGATACCTTATCGCCTAAACTGTTTACCGTAGTACTAGAATATGCTTGTAAACAACTTAACTGGGAAGGGAAAGGCCTAAACATTGACGGTAGAAGATTAACAAATTTGAAAGTGACAGACGACATAGTTTTGTTTTCGGATAACCTCAAGGAGATTGTACAATATTACATGAACTTCAGTTAGTGTGTGCCAGTGTAGGTCTTAAAATAAACATCTCCAAAACAAAATTCATGACAAACCTAGTACCTAGCGGAAATATCAATATTGGAGACAACGAAGTAGAGCTGGTGGAAAAATACATATATCTTGGACACGAAATAAAGATCACAAGAGCCAAACATGCGAACTACGAAGAAGAATGAACCTAGCATAGGCAGTCTATGGAAAACTCAAAGACATTTTTAAAAGCGATATACCAATTTCTCTAAAACTTAAAATATTTGACCAATGTGTGTTGCCTGTGATGACCTATGGTGCCAAAACTTTGACATTAACAGCTACAAGTTCTAAAACGCTGCAAATAGCTCAGAGGAAAATGGAAAGATCAATGCTGAGTACATTGCTTCGTGGGCGAGAAAAGAAGACTTAAGACGAAGAACAATAATTATCCAAGTAATTTCCCGAATTGCCACACTGAAATGGAACTGGGCCGGGCACGTCTCCCGAATCAGTGATGAAAGGTGGACAAAGAGATTGCTTTAGTGGAGGCCGAGGTTATACAAAAAAGTAGAGGAAGACCCCCTACCTGTTGGACTGACGATCTCAAGAACATGTCAAGAAATTGGATGGAAACTGCTCTGAGGCCGGGAACAATATGATTACAGTTACTAAAATGAATAATAATTTCAGAGGAATCACTTTTTAACTCAATTGGTCAGATGGTCTCACGTTTTTATTTCTAAAAAAATTGACACGAGTTGAGAAGACGTATTGAAACATACACACCAGCTCCAAGAAATGTCGTTGGGCTTTAATTTAAAAAGAATACACTACCATGTCATTTATTTTTTAAACATAGGGAAAAACTTGTGTACTCCAGCTTCGTTTAAATGCCGAGTTGAAAATAATATCAAAAGTTATCAAATAAATTTCTTACTTGATATATTTGGGCCATTTTCAAGTAAGAAAATTATTTTGTGAAGATTTGAAAAAAAAATTATGTAAAAATCTAAATATTAGCATTCTGTGGTGTCACCTATGGTTTGATGCCTGTACTTGCGCGTGAATACCCCACGTATTGGGTATTACTCCATTTTACTTTTCCTGAGCTTTGATAAGTTGTGGATAGGTGGCACCATCTGGTCAAGACCAAATTTTCGTTATTAAAAAATAATGTGAATTTACAGATTCAATATTTTATTTTGCTTTTTTTAGTTTCCGTAAACTTTGATGATTATAATGAGCTAGTTACTATTTTATACAGAAGTAATTTACAAAATAAATATGGAGATTTGAAATTTCGAATATCTGGAGAACAGATTAGTGATGATTGTTTAAGTAAGTATACTACAAAACCCTTTATAATATATTAATTTTTTATCACTCGTTTATTATTTTTAGTTCCAGAACCCCCAATACAACGTTTGGTTATCAAATAAAATTTTTATTTAGTTCATAAGTACTATATTATAATTAGTATAAGGTAAAATATTTTTTATATTTTTCAATATTTGTGATACACGTATTTAAATAAAAACTTAAATTTAATATGCCAATATATTACTATTTCCCTTGATCCCATACAAACACATAAATATAATATGAACCAGATAATAATCCAAATTTCAAACAAATCTATGAAAATATTAACAAAGGTTAAACAAATCAGTCATTAGTAGAACCCAGACAGCACAAGTACGTCCCATGGACGTCCGAAGGATGTACCTCATTAAATGTCCGGACATCCCACGGACATCCGTTTACATAATTTGGACGTCCCCGGAACGTCCAATAAGATCTAAATGTTACCAAAAAGTACGTCCCCTGGACGTCCCAGGGATGTTCATGGGGACGTACATAGTACATATACCGCACTTCATACGGATTTATATAGGACCTAAGAAGGATGTATTGGGGACATCCATTGTACGTCCACATGGACTAATACAGGACCTAAATAAGGATGTATACAGGACCTAAAGAGAACTTAGAAAAAACTAATAAACTGAAAAGCAAAAATAAATGGGATCTTTATTTATTTTTAAGTACATTACTCATACTTACTTTACAAATGTAGCAACTCACACTACAACCACAACAATTACCTATAAAATTCCTATATACCTACTTAAAGACTATAATAATAAATTACCAAACTATAAACCAGTATCGAAAGCAATAAACTAATTCTAATTACAACCACAACAACAATAATTATAATTCAAGAAATAAAAGATTCCGAAAATACTAGCTAAAAATAAAAATGCCTTAAAAAGCAACATAAATACAAGGAGATAAATCATCGAATTAGAATCTAAGATTAATAGAAGCGTCGTTCAAACATAACCACATTCTTCTTTTATCTTCTAATTTTTAAATTTCAGCTCTACTGCAGAACAAAATTTTAGAGATACAACTCAGCTATAGGATAAGGATTTTTCTCTAAAAGAAGCCTCTGTCTGTTTTCGTATAAATTAATGGTATTTAATACTCAATATAACTTTTTAAAGTTAAGTTTAGTAGGAAGATATTAGATTTTGTAAAAAATATGCTTAAGTAAAAAAATGACACAATTAACATCTAGAATACATCTCTAATGGGACGTCCCTCGGACGACCTTATGAGACGTCCCTGGTATGTCCGACTAGAAATACCCCTTGGACGTCCCTCGGACGTCCAAAAGAGGTCCCTGGACGTTTGGACCTTAAAATGGCATACAATGGAAGTCCCAGGGATGTCTTGTGCTGTGTGGGAAGTGTAATATTAGCAATTGGCGAACTGCATGTAAAAAAACCAACAATGTATTGGAAGTACGTGGGACTCCAAGGAGTTTTATACATTCTTCTTTTCCTTTTTTTCACATGTTATACTGCATTTTGGACTTACTTTTTAGTTTCTATTTATCTTGGTCTTAGAACAGATCTTCTTTACCACCATCTTTATAAGCCAAGAAGCTATCAATATCTTTATTCAGAATGACCCAATATAAAAGGTCACCTGGTATGTAGGTATATTTTACAGATGTACCTTACCTTTTACAGATGTGAGTCTTTTATTTATTATTTTTTCAAAAAATTTGCTAGTGGTATAAGTGAGAGAAATTTGAAGTGATTACTGGATTCGAAGCAGTAAAACAAACAATATTTCACGATTTATTCAATACTTTTAATAATAATAATGTTGATAGCTAACGGCCATTACATACGATAACAAAACAAAACAAGTGAACTTTACTGACTTATTTTATAGTTAGGTACAATCATATGATGATTACAATCATATATTACTATGACTAAGAAGATAAGATATTGCGCATAAGTCGTGACGTATTTAGAGAGTTGCTCGTTGGTAATGTCAGTTTTTTGTATGTATCAATAAATAATCTCTAATAAAGAGTTTGGAGATATCCTTATGTGTACGATTATTGTAATTATTAAACCTCTTAAATTATTTTCATCCAGTTTCTTCTTATAGTTTCTTAAATATTATATTATTCTTATCTTTTGTTTACAAATAACACAAAAAAGCCATTTAATTTTGCTAATTGAATAATTTCATCACAGAATGCATACAAATCCCATTTTACTTTATCAAGAATTCAAATTCTACTCTCCAATGACGGCATGCGCGAACATGACCGATTTTGTTCTACGGGAGGATTCTATCTTGTTAGTCATATTATCATAGTTACAACCTGACATGAGATATGTCACTTTTAAAATCAAGGCGAGAATTGTACAAGGAGGAAACTAACAAAACACTGAGACAAATAGAGTGCCAAAAGAAACATGGACAATGGAAGAAAGATGGAATACTTACAGTGAAGTATTAAAGACAACAGCAACTGAAGTGTGTGGAATCAAAAAATATAATAAACAATTGAAAAGGACAAGATAGTGGATTAAAGAAGTGAAGACAGTAATAAAAAAGAAGAAAATAGCATGGAAAAAGTATATCGAAACGGGATTAGAAGAAGACAAAGAAAAAATACTATAGGCAGAGACGATTGGTAAAAAAGACAGTCACACAAGCAAAAGCAAAAACATGGAAAGAATTTGGAGAAGAACTTCAGGAAGAATATATAACAAATAATAGAAACTTTTGGACGATAATACGAAACATAAGGCAAGGAGGACAAAAGGAAATAAACGCAGAAAGAGATACTTCAAACCAAATACAAATAAGCCCAGAACAAGGAGCTAGGGTATGGAAAGAATATTATGAGAAAAAATTTGATACCGAAGGGATAAATGAAGACAATATAAACAATGAAGGCGAAGAAAACACAGAGCTAGAGCAAATAAGTAGATAAGAAGTAATAGAAAAATTATCAAATATAAAAATAAGCAAGGCAGGTGGAGATGATGAAATTGAACCGGAAATGGTAAAATACATGGGAGAAGGAGGAATAAACTGGCTATGGAAAATATATAAAGAGGCGTGGGAATAACAAACAATCCCTAAAGACTGGCAGAATAATATCATCGTGCCAAAATACAAAAAAGGAGAACATAGAGCAATATGTCTGTCATCGGTATGTTTTAACATATATACGAAAGTAATAGAGAAGAGACTGAGACAAGAAGTAGAAATGGTATTGGGAGAAGAAAAAACGGCATTTAGACCGGAAAGACAGACAAATGACAACATATATATCATTAGAAACCTAATAGAAAGAAGCATGTATACGGGGAAAAAACTAGTATTAGCATTCCTAGACCTAAGAGCAGCATTTGACACGATAAAAGACATATTATACGGAAATGCTTGAGAAAAATAAATGTACCTTATGCATTGATAAAAATTATAGAAAGTACTTACAAAGAGGTAAAAGGAAGGGTACAAATAATAGGTAAAAGATCGAAAGCATTTAATTGGAAGAGAGGTACTAAACAAGGAGATAGTCTCAGCCCTTTGCTATTCATAATAGTAATGAAGGAGTTGATAAGAAACACTAGAGTCAGAACCAATCAACTACAGACAATAGTAGATCACCACAGATTACAACCGGTAACAATAGAGTCCTTAATATATGCAGACGACATAGTACTAATAGCAGATTCCGAGAATAAAATGCAGAAACTAATGGATATATGGTTAGAACAAATAGAAGAACTAAAAATGGAGATAAACGAGGAGAAAAGTAAGATAATGATAATCAGTGGCGGAGGAGATCAGGAAGATAATCAAATAAAGATAAAATGTAAAAACTCATGAATTGAAAATTGAAGAGAATTGGAAATAGTAAAAACTTATGAATACCTGAGAAGTATATTAACTAATGACAGAAAAATAGACTGGGAAATAACAAATAGAGCAAAGAAATCAAACAAGTTATACTATGCGTTAGCCCCAATAATGGGAAAAAGAGAACTTACACGAGAGACAAGAATAAAAATATATAACACAATAGTGATACCGACTGTGCTCTATGCAAGTGAAAACTGGACAATCCTGGAAAAACATAAGAGCAGGATAAACGCAGTGGAGATAAGACATCTAAGAAGGATAGTTGGAAAGACAAAATGGGATAGATTAAGCAACGAGATTAGTAGGAGAATGGCCAACCAGGAACCGATAATGAACAAAATAGCAAAGAGATAAATAAACTGGTATGGACATCTGATGAGGATGCAATCCGATAGAATAACAAGTAAAGTTTATGAAGCAAAGAATATCCGAAAAAGAAAAAGAGACAGACCAAGAAAAAAATGGATATAGCAAGTAGTAGAGGCGGGAAAACTTAAACAAAAATTACTCGAGGAATTGAAAATAATGGCAGGAAACAGAAAAGAATGAAAGTGGTGGGTAAATGGAAATTAAAATATCTAGCCCAAATCCGACACCCTGGTAGGGTAAAAGGAAGGGGAGAAAGAAAGAAAGAAAATCAAGGCGGGAATTGTGAAATAAACACCTCCCTTTAATTCCGCCAAAAAAAAACGTAAAACTAATTATAAATTAATCAATACTATCAGATAAGTATCAATCACTATCAGTAGTAATACTGCAGGTACCTATACAATCCCTAAAATGTTTGAACTTATCACAAGATAATGCTTTTGTTATTATATCAACACACTGCTGTTCGCTGGGTACATAATACTAGTTTAATTTTATTCTCAAAAACACAATCTCTAATAAAGTGATGACGAACATTTATGTGTTTAGATCGTTTTGTTTCTAAAGTGCAAGCAATCTTTATGAATGACTGATTGTCTTCAAATATCACTATTGGATAAACAATTTTACAAATCATATCCACTAGTAACTGTTTATGAAAGATACATTCAGTTATACAGTTTGACAAAGCTACATTCTGCCTCAGTACTAGAAATTGCTATAACTGACTGTTTCCTTGATTTTCAGAATATAATATTACTATTAAAATTCAAAACAAATCCACTTACACTTTTTCGATCATTAATATTTTAAGTAAAATCAGAGTCTACAAAAAATTAATATTTATAACAGTATTATTACATTCTACATATCTTAGAACAAATTGTTCAGTTTTCTTTAAATACCTCAAAACATTTTTTAAGTG